CACACACACACACAAACACAGTATATATTGTTCAATTAAATGTTGAAAAGGCTGTAAACAGAATGTGATAGACTATGTGAGACTTACACTATTTTCCAGAATGTAAGATTTAAAACTAAACAAAAAGTAGAATGCTTTCCTGAATTGGGGTTATTGTATATATTTGAAGGAGAGAATGCTAAACTAACATTATGTTATCATAATCATCACTACTTACTATATATTTAATTCTATCCATTAAATATATAATATGCCAACAGCATATACTAGAATAGAATAAAACAATTTACACACAGAGGGCCAAATCACAACTTTATCAGATCTGGAATTATACATTATATCTTATATATCTATATCTATATTTATCTATCTATCTATCTATCTATCTATCTATCTATCTATCTATCTATCTATCTATCTATCTATCTATCTATACTGAAATGTAATGTAATATATACAATTCACTACAGTACAATACAATACAATACAGAACAATACAATACAATACAATACACATATATTATATTACATTCCGACAGAGAGACGTTCCCAGAGGCTGGGCTCCAGGATGAGTCCGAAAGCTTGGAAGACTAAACCTCTGGTCCTGGTCGTCCACTAGATTGGATCTTGAAACTTTTACATTTTCACGTTTTCTAAATAAAACACTTTAAAAGGTGCTCCTATGTTTCTAAATGATGTAGGATTTTGTAGGAATCCCGTTTAATTGTTTTCAATTGAGTTTCTCATTTTCAATTTCAAATTGACCTCATCATATAGTAGCAGCATACAAATAATTCCCAGATTAAAATTTATATTAGTATTCATCTTATTATAATGAATGAAGGACTTCCTGTGTTCATACAACCTAGTCTAAATTCTTGAAATTCTTTAAAAGCCCCAAAGCATCCTATTTTTCTTTTCACCTTATTTTTTTAACCTGTATCTATAACCATCACTTGTGTTCTAGCTTGAAATGGCTTTATCAGTCCAGCAGATGGCAATATAGTATTAATTTTTATTAAATCAGTCCTCTAGTTCTCAGTTTATGTCTTGAAAAAGCTATTGTTTCATTGCTTAAAGATGGATTGTTAGTTTTACTGTTCTTCAAACACTATATAAAACTTGCAAACACTTTTGGATCTATAAATATTTTAGAGTTAAAAGAGGTCTTCAAACAACAAATCTGAAAATCTACCTGCAAAGTAAAATTTTATCCCAAACAAAACAGAAGAAAAAATAACATACTATTTAAAGATGCTAAGAAATAATTTTTTAAAAAAATAACGTATGAGACAGTTCAAAGGATCTTTGAAAAACTGGGAGAAAAGCTTATAACTAAAGTGACAGCAATAATTTCTACATCTGCCAGTTTATTTCTTAAAGTAGATTTAAATAAAAGAATTCATAGTAAATGTTCTGCCTTAAACAGCATAGTAAAAGATGTAGAAATTAGAAGTGTTGTGGAAACATTGGGAAATGAAGAAACTGAAGAGATGATTATCAGTGTGATGAAGAGACGAAAAACTTGTCAAAAGAAGTTTCCTAGAGCTTTGAGTAAAATTTTAAAATGAGAGAAAGAAAATGTGAATGCAGATTCAATCCAACTTAGCAACTTGATAAAAGAAAAAAAGAAAAGGAAAAAAGGAAAGACTATAAAGCCAATTTAATTGATCAATATTAAAGTAAGTACTATTTTCATAAAATTCTAGTAATCCTTTAGGCACTTTTTGCTGACACTTGGACTGAAATGGTAACAATGTTTGAACTGGCAATTGGATAAGTGGGGGATATGGGAAGGAAGGAATTATGTATCTAACAGCATGGGGAAAATATTTACTTACTTGTACTTGTTGCAAGGACAATCAGGATTCACTTCTTTAAACATCTTTTTTTTCCTATGCTTTTTCTCTAGTCTTTTCTCTTTTTTTTATTCCTTTCTTCCTTCTTGGCACTTTGTATTTTTTGTTGTTTTCTACTCTTTTATGTCTTATATTAGTTTATATTATTTTCTAGTATTGTACAATTCTTCAATAATAAGTATTTTTCAAAAAGAGAGGGAGAGCAACTAAGGTGTAATTCAGGCTGAAGCACAAAAAAGTTTATCACAGTAATGAACCTTCTGCTATTAGTCTGGCATATCTTGCAAACAGCTTTTACATTACCACATTTTTCTCTACAGATTATTATAAGCAGAACTGTATTTAGTTTGTCTCTGAAGCATAATTCAGTATACAATAGCTATATCTTTTGTCATGGCAGGATAACCATCCCCTTCCTCCTTAGATTTTTCTTTTAAACATGGATTGAATCAGAAGCCCAGGACTGGATAAGAAATATTACTTCTTTCTTTCATATAATTAACTAGAACAGAATTGCTTCCTAGACTTCTGCCTTTTGAAAAAAGCACCTTTGAGACAAGGGCCTGAATGGAACTCTAAGTAGGAGCACAAATGTTAGGAGGCATTTTAGCATTCTCTTGGGGCTTTTATTTCTAATTGTTTCATTTTTAAAACAATTCTTAGAAGCAGTTTGCCAAAATCTAATTTTTGTTTGGCTAATCATTGGTCACTCTTACCTTTTTCACCTGGAGTTCCAGGAGTTCCTATAGGACCAGGTAGACCTTGAATTCCAGGGGTACCCATAATTCCCATTTCTCCTTTCACTCCTAAAACCAAATTGTATTAATTGTCTACATTATTGATAAGTTTATATAATATATTTCTATTTTCACAGTAAATCCAATTAACATATGTCACTGACTGTTAACTACATGGCACTTTTCTAGTCCACTGTATTTACATTGAAGTGGCATATTATTCCTAAGTAAATTTGAAAAGTTCCTATTCTCGCAAAAAATATATATATTCTTATTTATGAAAAAAATTAAGAATGATAGAAAACAGAATTAATACTGATAAGTACAACTTCACAATAATAAAGATATATAATTCTTAAATATTAATCATTATATTCTATCAATTTGTCAATTGATAGACCCATCTACAATCTTTGCAGATTTGGTTCCAAATGTGGTAGGCTGCATGGTTCTGTGCAGGCCAGTGGTGGGATTCAGCCAGTTCGCACCTAGTCGGGAGAACCGGTTGTTAACTTTCTAAGCAGTTGGGAGAACCGGCTGTTGGAAGAAATCCCCTTTTGTTTTTTCCACTTTCCAG